GGAGGCTGAGGCAGGAGAATCACTCGAACCCAGGACGGGGAGGTTGCAGTGAGCCAAGATTGCACTACTGTACTCCAGCCTGGACAACAAAGAGAGAGACTGTCAAAAAAAAAAAAAAAAAAAAAAAGCAACTGGCATGCTGCAGCTCTACCTCAAGTTGAACCTGTTGAGAACCTGTTGAATGCTAAAGCCAGATTTGTTTATGGGGCTCCTTCCCTCCAAGATCACAACGTCAAGGATATGGAGAGTGGAGATAAGGAAGCAGGGGAGAAGTCTGGTGCTGCAGGAAGTGCACTGAATGCTGCAGGAAGTGCACTGAGGGCTCCAAGGTATTCCAGCCCCTAAGCACGTTCCCCCTGGGTCCATGGTTCCATCAGATCATTGTGGAGATGTTAAATGTTTTCTATTTTTTTCATAATAAATATGCACTGCTTATATAATGCCTGAAATAATAAAATGTTAAGAGAAGATTTACATTACATGACCTAGCATATAAGACCCCTATTTCTTTTCCTTGCCACAGTTACTGAGGTGCATTATAAGGTAAATTAACTTTATGAAAACTCCTTTTAAGAGACAAGCCCTTCTGAAGGATTGCTGTTACATGGTTCAGTGAACAAACATATACTGACCATCTCACATGTGTCAGGCACTGTGCGAAGTGCTGGTGACACAGGCATAAGGAAGTCACTCTCCCTGACAGCACCACACAGTTGCACATGTTCCTTGCACCTTCTGCCTCTAAAATGTGTGGGAGACCCAAGACCCACACCAAATTCCTGCCTGGTCAACAAAATGTGGCGGAAAGAGCCCTGGACCAAGGAGTCAGACAAGGGATGTTGTAGACCTCACTCTGTGTGTGACTTTGGGAAAACCTCTACCCCTCTCTGGGTCTCAGTTTCCCCCACTGCACAATAAGGATTTGGCCTATAGAATTTCCAAGTTTCCCTCCAGCTGTGTGGTCTTGTGCTCCTTACCCCCTCTTGCCCAGATCTGGTCCTGGAAACGCCTCACCTCCATGGAGTGCTGACCAGGCCTAGGGTTCCCCTGAGCATCCCTCACTCAGCTTGTCTGTGCCAATGACTTGGGTAGTGTGTCTGGCTTTCCTGGCATGGTCTGGGTCTGGGTCTAGAACAAACAGCCTTTCCAGAAGGCAAGGGGTGGGCTTGTAGTTGCTCCCCTGCCCCCGGGCCCTCCTTTCTCTCTCCACCCCACCATGCAGAATGAAGGAAGAACCCAGGTGAAAAGCAATATAAAGAAGACCCGAAGCACTCCCAACTTTAAAGGAAATATGAATCAAAAAGGCAGAGGAGGAGAGGAGTCCAAAGGCAACACACAGGTCTTGGCCGAGTGTAGAAAAATAGGCCACAAAGTTTCAACCAGACATCATGCCCAGTCTTCTGTATCTGGATGAGAGATGCCTGCTCTGAGCTAATATTCTCCCCCTAATATGTAGCACCGTGTCCCTTTTAATTTACAGCCAAATTCAATGTATCTAGAGATCAGGGTGTGTGAAAAGGTCTCTGCCCTGGAACTCGTGGTGGTTCAGGTCCCTCTACTACCATCAGGGTGACACAGAGCACATCCCGCCTCTCCGATTCACCTTTTGCACATGGAGGGAGGCCTCCACATCCGCCCTGCATGGACCTCCCAAGTTTTTCCAGCCCTGACTGCTGGGACATGCAGGACAGGACCCTGCAGGTGAGACTGGCTTTGGTGGCACAGCTTCCCTAGGGAGTGGGGCAGCCGTCCCAGCTGGCCTGCAACATGCTGACCAGCCACCACGGGGCACAGCGGGGGTGTGGTTCATGGCTCTGCTGGCTTCTACGCTGCATATTTTAGAGGCCGCCCTGAAAACTTTCGCAGCAGCCAGCATCCCAACTCCCTCTCTTCCTCTGATCTCAGTGAAAACAAGTTGGCCACATCAAAATGCTTGTGAAGGAGATTTAAGGCGCTGTGTGGGCCCGGCTACTTCCCGGAGGGCCTGGCTGCCGGGTTGACTTCCTATGGCTCAATTTGCCATGGACAGCCCAGCTTGCGCCTTCTGTCCCCACAGTTATTAGTCACACTCAAGTGTGACTGAATTTGGAAGACAAATGTATGGTGACCTGCCCACGGGGCAGAATGGCCTTCCCAGGAACAGGAGGTTGTACCAAGTTCAGGGACACAGACCCACCATAGGCCAAAATATGAGTAAAAGGTGGGCCTCAGATACACCCACCTGATTTACAGCCACCCAATCAGAGGCAGTGTTTCACCTCCTTCCCCGTGATAGGTATCTCTCAATTTACTCGTCCCCACCTCCTAGACCGGTGGATCTCAGTGTGGTCCCAGCAGCAGCATCACCTGGAAACCTGTTAGAAATGCACATTCTCAGACCCCACTGCAGCCCTACTAGACTGGGAACTCGGGTGGGGCCCAGCAACGTGGATTCTCACAAACCCTCCAGGGTGTGCTGACGCTGCTTGATACTGAGAACCACTGCCCTAGACTGTCCCCAGTGCTAGAGCTGACCCAGAAACTCTCCAGGTCTGTGCCTCCTCCACCTCCTATTAGAGATGGAGAAGCTGAGGGCCATCGGAGGGCACACCATACCCTGAATTCACACAGAAGTGATGCCTGCCCCCAACCTGTACTGCATCCAGCGATCTACTTCCTGGCCCTCAGGAATAAGGTACTGGTCAGTTAATCTTAGCAAGGCACTTTCTCCTCTAGGCTTCAGTTTCTTCATCCGTACAACTGAGGGATTTGCTTAGATGGCCTTTCAGGTCTGGCATTCTCACATGCTAAGCCAAATGATACGTCCATAAATCATCCTCCAGACAACATCCGCCTTTCTGTGGGAGCCTTGGTGACAGCGAAGAGAAGCCTCAGGCCCTGACCAGAAAAGGGTCTTCTGGTGACCCCTCAAATCCATCTTAGAATCAGACTATTAAAATTAAAAGAGATGGCCAGGTGCGTTGGCTCACACCTATAGACCCAGCTACTCAGGAGGCTGAGGTGAGAGGAGCGCTTGAGCCCAGGAGTCCAAGGCTGCAGTAAGCCATGATTGTGTCACTGCACTCCAGACAGGGTGATAGAGGAAGACCCTGTCTAGGAAAAAAAAAAAAAAAGGCTTTAAGGAGGTTTGTCAGCCTCAGGACCACTGACCTCTTGTGCTCTATGTTGTTGGCTGTCCTGTGCGTCGTAGGATGTTTATCAGTGTCCCTGGCCTCTACCCATCAGATACCAGCAGCACTCCCACGTGCTTCCCTTGAATTTCCCCTCTTCTCCCCAGGACAGGAATCTCCTGCACTGCTAGCACCATTTACAGGCATTAGCAGGATCGCTCATTGCCTCAGGAGTTCCACCAGGGCGGCCTTCACCCCGGCCCACCCTGCAAGAACTTTCACCCAATCCAGTTCACAATCAAGGGTGGGGTTAGCCTGCCTTTGCCACTTCCTATTTATGTGATGTTATACAAGTTTACTCAACCTCTCTGAGCCTCACTTTTCTCATCTATAAAGCGGGAACCATGACACCCACCTCACTGGGATAATTGTGTGGCATAGATGGGACGCACGTGAGGCGCCTGTCCAGTTGGCACTCAACAGTGTCAGTATTCAGAGAAAATGGGAATCGTGCTGCCGTTTATTTTTTCTTTTCTCCTGGCTCCAAATTACAATTCCATCTTCGACCCACTAGGGTAGATTTGCCTCAGGAGAGGTTCTGATTGTCTTGTTCAGATTTCCTTTCCCAGTGAGCACAGCCGCCTGTTACCATTGGTGCAGGTAACGCTGGAAGGACATTTCTGAGCAGCTTCGGGGGTGGAAGAGAATTGAGTTTTGTGGATACAGCCGGCTCAGCCTAAGGAAACAGGGGAACCCAGACCACAGACTCAGGGCCTCAGGGTCAACCAGGACATGAAGAAAGGCCCTGCCCCTGAGTGGAATGGAGGACCAGGACCTGGACAGACATGAGATGTCCTTTTCAGCAGTAGCCTCCTCTACTCGGCTGCAGCTGGTTGTGTGGACATAGGGTCAGGGTGGCTCCCTGTCATTCACGAGAAGCTGAAAACCTGGATTTTTAGAAAGTGAAATTCTCAGATTTTTTTAAAACAGTGTGTCAATTTGAAGTTTCTGGTAGAGAGAGAAACCCTAAAATAACTCAGTAATTCAGTATTTACTCAAAACAATTCTATGAAATAGGTACTATGATTATTCCAGTTGAGGAAACGGAGGCACAGAGAGGTTAAATAGCATCCCAAAGACAAACAAGTAGAAGTGGATTGGAGGAGAGCCTGGCACAGGAGGGGTTAAAGGGGAAACTATAGGCCCTTGTAATGAATAAGAGGAGACAGAGCCAATTTTTCTATCATAACAGTAAATTGGCCCCAAATTAAGCCAATACCCAGTTCTTATTGCTTCTGCAGAGAATTAATAAACCATGGCATCTTCTGAAAGTGGGGAAGCCAGCAGCTCAGAGAGGTGTCAGAAAGCTTTTTACGGGGCTGGAGATGTTCTGCCTTAGCAAGTAAAATGGTTTGATGGTTATGCCACAAACATGCAGAGAGGGGGAAACGGCACGGGCTGCCCTGCCTGTGCCCACTCCTGGCTCAGCTCAGAAGCGTGCCCACTATGAGAAGTACCTGCAGTAGCTGGCTCTTGGGGCGTTAATGGCTATGGCCTCCCAGAGAATACTACGGAATATTTTAGGTTTACATTTTACAGATGGTGTGCCAAGTCATTCCCTCATTCGGCCTATTAGGTGGTTAGTTTCCTTTTTCTAGTTAAAGGATTAACTAGAATTATCAGTCATCATGAGCTTCCCCCCAAGGACAGGTCAAAGGAAATTAATGGAAACTGCAGCAATAGAGACATGGGTTAGTTCCACAGAAGGAATTCCTGATTGGGAGAATTAGCCCTGGCACAGCTTCCAAGGGGGTGGAATTAGAACCCATCATGGAACCTAGGCAGAGTTGGAAACCCCTGCAGGCTCTGGCTCAGAATGGAGGTTACAGGCAAAACAGCAGAGTTAGGAGGGGAGACGGGTTAAGTACTTCACCATAAAACGTTCCAGAAACTTGGATCTGAATGGGGGCCTTTGAAATATTTCAGCCTGACCTTTTCACGTACAGATGTGAAAACTGTGATCCAGACCTGGCCAGTGACTTGCTAAGGGCCATGCAGCTAAGTAACAGCAAAGGTAGAACGCAGGGCTGCAGTCCCTGCCGTGATTCCTCAACTTGAATCTAGTAATGCTCACTATAGATGAGACAACAGCCTTCTCAGGTTCTCGGTCCATGGGACTATAAAATGGAATGTTGGGCTTGGCACATCACAACACAATTGCCTATTTACAAGTTTATTCCCAATCTCCAATGGAAGTGAATGCCCCAAGGATGGGGACCATGGCTTCCTCATCTTTGTCACTGGGTGCCTTCCACAAGGCCTGACACATAGCAGGTCTTCAGTAAGTATAGAGGGATTGGGTGAAGACAACTTTGAAGGTCCTGAGACATAGCTCCTCTGTGTATACTATCCCCATGATGTGCTTGACAAGATGTCCCTGTACCACAAGATGGTATCATTATTGTAATCAGAGTAGATAAGAAACCTGGGTTCTGGGAGCTACATCAGATATGGCAAATACTATTTGCTAAGTCTAGGTGATGGGTATATGGGCATTCACTAGGCTATTCATTATATTAAAAAGTATTTATTATACTTCTCTGTTAAATATTTTCATAACAATAGTCAAAACAACGTAATAGCAACCTAAAGTTTATTCCTAAAAATGCTCATGCTCATGAAGCTTGGTTCTAGAACATAGCCACATCATTAGATGTCATTATTTATAGTTGTATCATTCAGCAGATGTCTATTGTTGCTAATAGAATGTTCTGGATTCTTCCGTGGCACAGCACTGAAGAAGACTCAGCCAGTGCCCTTAAGAAACTTGAAGAGAAATGAGACTCAAGCCAACATTGCCACAAAACAAGGCAGATGTGGCTGCAGGGGAGATGTGGGGAATGCTGGGGTGGCTGAGGCTCAGCCGCACTCTGCGGGTTCTTCCACTGACCCCACCCCCTGACCAGCTCAGCCAACATTAACCCACTGCACACACACGGTCACACCACAGGCATCTTTAGAGGCACCAAAGGCTTGCTAATGACTAGGGTCCCCCCACCTGAGGAGCGCTTGGGGCCCCTTGCCTCCAGCCTTCTTCATTTCCTGCTATGGAATATTTGCACATGTGACCTATAAGGTTTAAGTGAAACAAAAAGGAAAATGAGCCACAAAAGGGCAGCCTGGGGCATGTGTGTGTGAAAGGAGACGTGCAAGATCATTGCCATGGGGACTTGTTTTGGGAGAAGGAAGACAGCACATTTATGGACTGCTGCTGTGGTTACAAATGCCACTGCCAGCAGCATGGCATCACAAGTCCAGGGTCATGGCTGATGCACATATTTGTAAGCTGTAGGGTGCAGCATGAAAGCACAGAAAAGCACCAGATTTGGCATCAGACAGCACTGGATTCAAATCTGGGCTCTACCACTTACTGGCAATGTTCAGCAACTTGCTTAGCCTCACTTCTCCCATTTGTAGAATGAGGGCTAACAATGAGTATTTCACAAGGCTCATCTAGGAACTTAATAAGATTCTACTGCACATGGAGTATGCAGCGCAGCCTGGCATGGAGTAGGTGCTCAGTAAACGCTTCCTTACCCACCTATTCTTGCCCCTTTGCAAGGACAACTGCTTGAGGTTATAAATACATGGAAGAGTGTGGGTGCCTGCACAGTTTTTGTTTTGGCTCAAAATAGACACCCAAACCATCTTCTGTAGGTTTTCACATTGAGTCCTGTGTGCTAACAACCATCTCTCTGTGAAGGCACAGTCTTGGGCAAATGCTCAAATAGGTCAATGGGTGGTGATACCTCCTGAGTTAGAGTTCCTGCAAAGACTAACCTGGAGCAAGGATTCAAGTAGGCATCATTTATTTGGGAGGCAACCCCAGTAAACACTAGCAAGGAAGTGAGCAAGTGAGACATCAAAGGAAATGAAGCCAATGAAGGAAGTGTCAATATACAGGTTACCACTGGGGGCAGCTGAGTAACAACTAGGGGCTCAACCTTACAGGGGAATTCTGGGAGAAAAAGTAGACCATACCTCAGAATTACCTACCTTATGGGCAAAGGAGCTGGGGTATTTATCCTCCAACTCCCATCTATCAATGGCTGAGGGCTGCTCCTGGACATGAACTGGGAATTTTCAATTCACTATGCAGGCATGCTAAGAAAGAGCCTTCAGGCCCTCAGTTGTCAGTGCTTTCAGTACAAAGTGGCAAAATGCTCTTAGCACATATTGAAATAAGGACCAAGGAGTATTAACGGGCACCAACAGCACCTGCTATATTCCCTTACATGGAATTCCTTCTTAACACAGTCATTTTAACTTGGGTTTTGGTGGCTTTAGGTCTCTATTTACATGCATTTCCAGCCTGAGTTTTCTCATAATCTTCTAAAATCTTTCAGCTCCAAATGAGTAGGTAGTATGATCTACCAAGATGTGCACGATATGCATTGAGACTGTAAAATCCTTTAGAGGAGCATCTTTTTTATATTTCTCTTTTGCTGTGACTTTGGGTTAGTGGCATGCCCTCTCTAGCCTTTTCTTCTTCACCTGTAAAATCAGGAGGTTTGCTACGATGGCCTCAAGGCTCCCCAGTCTGTGATTTTTATGCTATCAGCTACCACCCAAGATCCCTGGTGCTGAGTGGAGTGCATGTGAGGTATTCATAAAGGTTCATGGAATAAACAGACACCCATACTGCTCCAAGCCAGAGGTTTTATACTCCTTCAACTGGTGGAGTAATAGACCCAGGCCTCCTCCAGGAGAGATGGCAGGGACTAGATGACTGGCAGGCAAGATGGTGGCCATCAGAAGCTGAACAGAGGAGCACTGAATTCTGGGAAAGGAAACTGAGGGCAGAAATAGCAAAGTCAAATCTGTGTGGAGAGAACCCCCAGAGGCCACAAACCCACCCCACTGCCTTTCAACAAGACCATACTTAAGCCCTTCAGATGAAAACTCCATGAGCTACTTTTAAAGACCTACAGAGAACTAGGTAACTCCTGACCCTCTCACTGCAAACCACCAAGCAAGCTCTCCTGAAAAGTCAGAGAGAATGGAACTTGTTCCGTAGTTTCAAGCCAAAATAACCCAGTCTCAGCTAAATGGACAGTCCAAGTGACATGGGGCATGGGTTTCACCTAGAACCCTCCAGGAACTGTCTGCTCTCCTTGTTTAGGGCCAGGAGTTGCCCAGAGCCCCAGTCACTTAGTCTCTTTCTTTGGCTCCAGGCTCACTGGAGATGGTGAACAGCTGTTTGCTATTCTGAGAGGAGGAGCCTTTCATATACTTGAAGACATTTTAAATCATCTCTCTTAATGATGGCTGGGAAGACTTCTTGTTACAGCTACCACATGGATAAAAAGCAAGGGCCATCCAGTACTAATGTTAAATTCATCTGAGCCCTGGATGTGCAGGCACAGGGTAGAAATTGAACGAGTAGAATGGTCTTGTTTTTAACGCTTTGGCTTCAGGCAAGGAGACTGTTAAAAAGCATACATTTCTTTAAAAAACTAAATTACTAGCAGCAGTCTAGTTGTGGGTGATAAAAAGATAGACGACTTTATTTCTGTGTATTTGGCCATGAATAATTTTTATAACCAGGAAAAAAAACTCAGACTAGAGTGCAGTAGCTTGATCATAGCTCAGTGCAGCCTCGAACCCCTGGGCTGAAGCAATCCTCCCACCTCAATCTCCTGACTATCCGGGATTATAGGCACACACCATCACATCCAGGTAATTAAAATAAATTTTTTTACAGAGATAAGGTCTCACTATGTTACTTTAGGCTACTCTCCAAACTCCTGACCTCAAGTGATCCTCCTGCCTTGGCCTCCCAAAATACTGGGATTACAGGCGTGAGCCACTACGCCCAGCCTGGGCTGCTTTTTGAGACAGTGGTGAGATACAGTAATAAGAGGGAGACTGAAGGAGAAAAGTCAAGGAGATTACCCTGGCGTTGCTTGACAGAGCTGTCCCCAGTCTTTCTGGCAGCACGGACTGGTTTTGTGGAAGACAATTTTTCCACTGCTGGGGAAGATGAGGGGTGGTTTGGGGATGAAACTGTTCTACCTCAGATCACCAGGCATTAGATTCTCATAAGGAGTGTGCAACCTAGATCCCTCACACACACAGTTCACAATAAGGTTCACGGTCCTGTGAGACTCTAATGCCACCGCTGATCTCACAGGAGGTGGAGCTCAGGCAGTAATGTACCACCTGCTGTGAGGCCTGGTTCCTAACAGGCCATGGTGGGGGTGGGGGGATGGGGTTGGGGACCCCCGGCCTAACATATAACAGGCATGCCACCATGACGTGGAGAATGCTATTATTTGCCCAGTTTGTCTTAAAGAGCTTCCCTTCCCTTTATCTCAAGGAAACAGTAGTTGGCAGACAGACACAGCATCTCCTACAAAAACTTCAGAAGGAACAGTGTGTGTTAGAGCTTTGTTGAATCTTACACCAAGTTAAAAGTATCTTTGGCTTTTGGAGTATGACTGAGGTTGGAAGGGGATGCCCTCACTTGCCTGGGATGGAAGTAATTCCCAAACATGAATGCACTCACCAAAAAAGCATAAATGTTGGAGAACAGTTGATGATAAACTGTTAAGTGAAAAAAAACAAGCCATAAAATACTATATATACTGTAAGCACATATATGAAAATTCTGTATTTATAGAGATAAGGGCTCAAAAGATCAAAAATAGTTGCTGTGTTGAGTTAATGAATTATAGGCAAGTTTTTTCAAAAAGTTCTTAATGTAACTGTGGTCCATTCAGGGTTTTTTAATCCAACATTTTATTATGAATATTACCAAACCTACAGCAAAATTGAAAGAATTTTACACTGAGCACCCATTTACCTGACACATAGACTCTGCCTTTAATGCTGTTCGGTTTTTAAACTATTTTAAAGTGTTTTAAGCTTTTGTTTTCCATAATATTTGGCACTTACATTAAGTATAAACTATATAGGCTTAATTACACAATGAACACTTCAAGAATCAGAACATCATCTATAATACCAGCAATTTGCGAGGCCAAGGCAGGAGAATTACTTTAGCCCAGGAGCTTGAGACCAGCCTGGGCAATATAGTGAGACCCTGTGTCTAGAAATAAATAAATAAGAATCAGAGCATACCTTCGCTCTTGCAGCTCCCCGTGTGCTCTTTCCTATTCCCAACCCATCTGCCTTCCTCCAGGATAGTCACAACCTGAACTGTGGGTTTATTATTCTCTTTCTCACCTTTCTGGTAACTTTTATGTATGTGTCTGTGTTGGCCAGGGCAGACTAGGTCATGCTGTGGAAACAAAACACTCTAAAATCTTGACTGCTTAACAGAACAGCAAAATTTTTTTTCTTGCTCAAGAAAAAACCTACCTACTGCAGGTCCAGCTGACTTTCATATCCTTCATGCAGCAACTCCACAATCCAGGCTGCTTTGACCTTAATGTGCCATCACCTAAATATGAGGCATTCCGCAAGATCACTTCAGCCGCAATGAGCTGCTTCAGCCCAGGGGTGACGCGTGCTCCTTACAGTCATAGCCCGTTGGCCAGGAGAGCTACCTGACCTCACTTGGCTGCCAGGGGAGAGAAATGTGATCCTTCCATGTGCCCAGGAGAAGAGCACAGAAATGCAGATATGGGTGAGCCCTGGAAAGCTCCTCCATATTAGCCCTGAGCAACATATTATTTACTATTTGCTTGGGTTGGTTTTTGAGCTTTACCAAGAAAAATAATCATCATCATGCTCTACGCAGCCCTCTGCAAGCTGCTTTTCCTCATCCATGGGAGATGTCTCTAACATTTACCCATGTTATTGTAGGTAGCTGTATTCTCATTCATGTTCACTTTTGTATAGAACTCCATTGCATGAATGACATGCCTACATGTTTTGTCCACTCTCCCATTGAGAGATATTGGAGGTTCCTGTCTTTTGCTGTTTTAAACAATATGCTGCCAAATATAGGTCTCTCGGTGCAGATGCATAGGAGATTCTCTAGAGCACAGGTTGCTCAGGTTTTTAAAACTAAAATTTTTAATGAGAGGAGAAAGACAAAGCAACAGCAAAAGGCGGGAGGTGTTAGCACTTTTCCATTTTGCAAACGGCAGGGTGCAGGAGATTGACTCTGTGCTCTCCTTCAGCAAGGCACAGGTTGAACTCAGAACAAGTAAGTCAGAGATGAAATAAATGTCTTCGCATAAAGCTGCGAGTTTACAAAGAGAAATCAAATGAGGAACCCAAGCAACTGTTGCTCTCACATAACTTGGAGGTTTCTAAGGCAGTGTTTCTCAATGTCAAGATGTCACCGTTTCAAAAGAGAACCTGAATTCTCAGAAGATTTCAACGCAAGATTTTCACTTGCCTCCATTTTGCAAATAAATAAATGCCATACTGTGATCTTTTTCTCTTTTTTTACTGGAGGGAGACATGTCTTGGAATCAAAGAAATAATGACAAGGTATTTCCACTCTCCCTAAGACTGGCAACACCAGTGTACAGCCCTGGAAGGAAAGATATAAAGCAGGAGAAATAAGGCTACCGGGAACAGATTTCAACATCGGCAAACCAAGGAATAACATTAATCGCGTAATTTATCCTACTAGGTTCCTGGTGGGATCCTTCTTGTTAGCTTTGACCACAAGCAAGAAATTGTGGCCTTGATGAAATGTTTTATTTTCAATTTATCAGCGGTAATAGAGGGAATCTGGTAACCCATCTCTTGACAGGTTAAGAAAGAAATGGAGAGATAGTCCTGAACAGCTTTGGAGTAGTTGGCTCATAGGCAAATCGGATGAAGCACTGGAAGAGGTCTGGGGGCCAGTCAGCCTTGGTTTTGCAGGCAGAAAAGAGTGGGATGGATCTTAGTGCTCTCCTTAGAGGGCCGGGACAACAACTGGCCTCTGACCAAGAGCAAAGGAAGCACATCCAGGTGGCTGAGCTCCTCGCCTTGAGAACGTAAAGATGACCAGCTGCTCAGGAGTTAGTGGAAGTCACAACTTGTAATTCAATGGTGAAAGAACGAGGCTTTATGAAGTTAAAACAAAAGTGGATGCATTGTTCACATTTGCTGCTACTAATGGGGCATTCCCAGGTGCCATCCACTGTGCCAAGGCTTGGCATGCATTGCCTCCTTATTCCTCAGGGCAAGCCGGTAAGGTGGGTGGAGTTACCACTCAGGCTTCTTGATAGTGAGAGAAACCAACCCTGGGTGGTTTCAGCAGAAAAGCAATTTACTAAGAGGATATTGGGCATCTCAGAGAATTACAGGGAATGTTCAGAAAATGAGCAGGAGACAGGGGAAGCCAAGACCTGGTTTTAAACGGTAACCACCACCAGTGCCACTGCCACCACTGCTGCTGCTAAACAAATTCTCCACTGTTCTCATGTCTCTGTATCGTGTGTCTCAGGTTCAGAGTCCTGGGAGGAAGAGTAGGCTTAGTTGAGCCTGAGTTGTGTGCCCATGCCCTGGGCCAGCAAGGCAAATGTCCCCTAACATAGGAATTATGGTTGTGTGAACCCCAAATATCTGAGACAGGTCTCAGTTAATTTAGAAAACTTATTTTGCCAAGGTTGAGGACATGCGCCCGTGACACAGCCTCAGGCGGTCCTGATGACATGTGTCCAAGGTGGTAGGGGCACAGCTTGGTTTTATACATTTAGAGAGATAGAAGACATCAGTCAATATGTGTAAGATGTGCATTGGTTCCGTCTGCAAAGGTGGAACAACTCGAGGTGAAGATGGGACAACTCCAAGCGGGGAGGGGGCTTCCAGGTCAAAGGTAGACAAGAGACAAATGGTTGCATTCTTCTGAGTTTGTCACCCTCTCCAAATGAAGTGGTCAGATATGTGTTTATCTCAGTGAGCAGTGAGGTGACTTTGAATAGAATGGGAGGCAGGTTTGCCCTAAGCGGTTTCTAGCTTGACTTTTCCCTTTAGCTTAGTGATTTGGGGGCCCCAAGATTGATTATCCTTTCACGGTTATCCCCCTTTACAGATGAGGTCTTCTGACATGTGCTGTCCCTGATGCACCATGACTGCTGTATCTTCTCACAATTAATATCTGCATTTGGCTAGCTCTGGCAAGGAAGAACTAGAATGCCCCAAAATTAGAATAAAGTAGTGTGTAAACTGTAATAGCTAACATTTTATGGTGCTTCACAGAATGCATTAACCCATTTGTTTCACTTAACCACTACCAAAAATTCTTACATCGACCCTGGTAGGTGAAGAGGTAAGCACTTTTGTCACCCCAAAACTGAGTCCAAGTGAACTCAATGACTTACCTGTAAGTAGAGGCACAATCTAGATATTTTGACCACAGTTTTCATGCTAGACCAGGTGATCGTTTAAGTACTTGGCCGATTTTCTCTTGGTATAATGCTTCATTAAATGGTTTTAAAGGTTATGAAACTAAGACTTCTCAAACTTTAATGTTCACATTACCTGGGGATCTTTATAAAATGCAAGTTCTAAATCAGTTGATCTGGGGTGGGGCCTGAATCTGTTTTTTTTTTTTTTTTCCTGAAACAGAGTCTCACTCTGGTGCCCAGGCTGGAGTGCAATGGTGTGATCATGGTTCACTGCAGTCTTGACCTCTCAGGCTCAAGCAATCCTCCCATCTAAGCCTCCTGAGTATCTAGGACTACAGGTGTGCACCACCACACCTAGCTAATTTTTTTCTTTTCTTTTTGTAGAGACAGGGTCTTGCTATGTTGCCCAAGCTGATCTCAAACTTCTGGACTCAAGCAATCCTTTTACCTTGGCCTCCCAAAGTGCTATCATTACAAATGTGAGCCACCACGCCCAGCCCAAATGTGCATTTCTAAACAGTTCCCAGAAAATGCTGATGCTGCTGTCCAGGAACTACACTTTGAGTAGCAAAAATTTAGAGGACTGGTAATAAGGATTAAGAGCGATCAATGTTTCGTTGTTGTTTTGAGACAGAATGTCTGTCACCCAGGTTGGAATGCAGTGGCATGATGTTGACTCACTGCAACCTCTGCCTCCATGGTTCAAGTGATTCTCCTGCCTCAGCCTCCTGAGTAGCTGGGTTTACAGGCATGTGCCACATGCCCGACTACTCTTTGTATTTTTAGTAGAGACGAAATTTCACCATGTTGGCCAGGCTGGTCTTGAAATCCTGACCTCAAGTGATCCACCCGCTTTGGCCTCCCAAAATGTTGGGATTACAGATGTGAGTCACTGCATCCAGCCAGCAATCAATATTCTTAATCTGTATCACACAACTGCAATATTTTAATAACTTGGTGAAGAACTGTAGAGAATTTTTATTTTTTCCATGCTTTGACCTTTTGTGTTATTTCTTTATTAGGTTTAAAGGACAAGGTTTGAGAGAGAAAGGTGGTGAACAGATGAAGTGGTTTGGGCTCAATTTGGGTTCTGCTCACACACAGAGGGGGGTACACAGCTTGAAGAGCAGACCAGGCTGGAAACAGCACCACTGCTCAGAAACCTGCCAGTCATTCAAACAGGAATTCCACAGATAATACATCTCAGCATGCAGCCCAGGAAATTCAATTCTCTCCTTTCAAAAGTAAGCTCTCCTGAAGTTTATAAACAACCCATATCCCTGCATGGAGAAACACAAAGAAGAAAAGACCTTCACAATGAGGACTTGGAAGCCACACAGCGCTGAGGGCCGCAGCCGAGTTTGCAGCAGCAGCCAAGACGAATCAACAAGACCACTAGACCCAACTGGCAAGAAACAAGACCCAAGTGCCAGGTCACAGAGAGCCCAGTGGAGTGGAAGGTGAGGGAGCAGATTGGGATAGTTGATGCGGAGATTAAAACAACTGAAAACCCTAAAGAAAACAAAGCAGAGAGTTAATAAAGCAACCGTCTGTCTCCTCGTGAAAGTAAACAAAGGCGAAAAGAAGCAAAGAGAAACCAGATGCAAGGTTTGCCTTAAACCCCAGCGGTAGTGGCCGAGACGGGCAGAGCAGGGCGCTGGAGCAGATGAAAGCTTCGGAAAGCAATTGGGAGTGAGAAGGAGAGTAAATACAGTAACCAGAGGGACATCAAATGGCAGCGGGGGGAGCTGGCGCCTCCGCCTCGAGTTTTGATTAGCAAAGGGGAGTTGGCACTAACCAGCCCTTGACAGACATATTTGGGGACAATTATTAGAAAGCTATTTTTGTGGTTTCTTTTGTCTCTCTGAGCCACAAGCTGAAGCTGCCCATATGTTAATCTGTTTTGGAGCCTGAGAAAACAACACTGATTTCACCAAAACCCTTGAGCTTTTAAAAATAAGAAAACACCCTTCCAAAGCTTCCACAAGTTGTTTCGGTCCTTTTTGAAAGTATGTATTTCTTTTCAAAAGGGTATTACTCAGCAGTTTGGTTTATTTTTCTTCTCTCTCCAAAGTATGCCTGTGCTTATACATGGAAGTAAGAAAACATGAATGGAAATGTTTAAGCCCCTAAATGGTAGCCTTTAGGGGGGCAGGGGTGAGGGGCTTGCCAGTTCTCACCATTGGGTGCAATTTTGTCCATTTCAGAAATGCTAGTCCTTCCCCTGCAAACCTTGGCCTCCTGGAAGCTCTCCTCTCCATGTGACCCTCACCCTGCCCCACTCCTTGAAGTGTGAAAGGGTCCTCCCTCTCTCAGCCTTGCTCTTCCCTCCCACTCACTGCCTCTCTCCTCTGGTTACTGCTAACCAGTGTTTTCATCATAATTCTTGCTCCATATTTAGGAAAGGTAGATTTGTGCAGTCACCCTCCTCATCCAAGCCCTGTAAACTATATCAATGTCATTGTTTAATAGCTCCCAGACCCTATGCCTGTAGGTCAATACAGATGGGTATTATTGTGCTAGATACTTCCTCAAATTAAACTTCAGGCTCTTGTCTCAAGATGTCAAGGGAGAACAGGCCACCAGCATAGCCTGTGAGGGTATCATCCATCAGACTTCCCCTCATGCACTTTGATGGGTCCCCATCCAAGCCTCCGCTTATAACATTTGCTATGGCCAGAATGTGTCCCCCAAAATTCATGTGTTGGAAACTTAATCCCTACTGCAACAGTGTTGAGAGGCGTTTAGGTCAGAATGGATTAATTCCTTTGTAAAAGAGCTTGACAGAAGGAGCTAGGTCCTCTTTCCCTTCTGCGTTCCGCCACATAAGGAAACCATGTTCCTTCACTCTAGAATATGCATTCATAGTGCCATCTTGAGACAGCAGCCCTCACCAGATGCCAGAGCCTTGATCTTGGACTTCCCAGCCTCTAGAACTGTGAGAAATAAACTCTGTTCTTTTTAAGTTATGCAGTCTGTGGTATTCTGTTACAGTGGCACAAATGGGGTAAGACAGCATTGTTCTAACCCACCTGTGCTCATCTGCCTCTTATTCAAATCCTCAAGGTCACCCTTAAGAACC